AAAAAAAAAAAAAAAAAAAAAAAAAAAAAAAAAAACCAGCTTCATAAAATAAAAAACTTTTATAGTACTCAATATAGAAGTGGTGGTTGTTTATTAAAAATGAGAATCTTGAAAACAAAATTTTAGAATACTAAAGATTTGAAATCACTTAGGGTTACGGTTTTACTTCGCAATGACCCAAAAAGATGCGGAATTTTCATTGAGGGGTAATCTAATAAGAGTTCTTAGACAGAACAAATAAAGTTTATCTAAAAAACGAAACTCCCAAATGAAAGTTTCCTCATTACAATTATGATTTAAGAACCTTAACCAGTAATAAAACGGAAAAAACTAAAATATAAGTTCAACAACAGAAAAGCTTCACTTTGAGTATAATCGTATAATAAGAATACAATTCCCGATTTTACAAACTGCTTCTATCTCAAAATGTCATGTTAACTTCAGTCGCCAGTTGATGAATTTAAAGCACGATGGAACATCTAACTTTCTAACCAAGTTTCCCCACTGCCGTTGCTCAATGACATATGACAGAAGAAAATCTAGATCATAGAATCTAGATATTTCTTAACCTCAACCATGAACTTAAACGCCGAAAATTTTGCAATCCATCATTCACACATTATGCTTCCATCAATTTATCTAATTTCTAAGAACTAATTCAAGGAATGATTTCAGTGAAAAACACAGTTCAAAAACGGTAATTGTCAACTTCCTAAATTTATGAATCCATCTTCTTCATTACACAGTTGGGTTGTTACACACCAGAAATAGCTAATGATGTGTCCTCGAAACAGTCATTTCAACTAACTGTATTGGTTTTAATGCAGTTTCGAAATCTGTGACACTGGGAAATAAAGCTTCTGTTGGAATTAGGAACCTCACTTCACTATCCCGCAAACTACAGAAGATTATTAAAGATTTTTAGAAATAAAGAAATTGTGTATTATAAAAAATCATTAAAAATTTACTTTTTATTAATACTCAGATGTGCAATGACCAAATACTAGGTAATAATATGAAATAATACCTTAGCAATTTCCTTTTTTTCACTCTCTAGTAAATCAGGTGAAATTTTCAATAGAATTGCTGGCCTCTTCTCTTTTATCCTGT